TTGGCATCCAGGAAACAATTTCACCATTCACACTAATACAGGTGTTCATGTGTAGTGTATGAATGTGTTATTAAATAATAACTGAATAAAATAATATTAAATAAATAATTAAAAACAACATCCATGTTTTGATTGTTTTTTATTTGGACCTCAAGTGTGTAGTCGGCCCCCGAACTGCTGTTTGATAGTTAATGCGGCCCTCGGGCTGAAAAGTTTGGAGACCCCTGGTCTACATTACAGATGCTTTGTTAGTCAAGCGATCTCAGCAAAGCCCACAGCATAAGACTCAGTTTATGAAGAGAGAAGGTTTTTCCATCGGCATAGTAACATGACCGCCTTTTTAGCTGTGCCCACAGAAGCACTCTTCTGTCCACATAGCTGCATCTGTGCTGGGAGCTTTGATTGTTATGGCAACAAAACTTTGTAGTCTAGACCTGTCTTGACTCCTCTCTCATACTGGACTTAAAACAATCAACGAACATTTCTTTAGCTCCGGTGCATGTGATGAATTATTTCATAAATTCAGTTAGGGCAAGAAGCTGAATGTGCCATCTTAGGATGCTAAACATTCAAAATGGGAAGGTTCCCCTCCATCCCCCTTCCCCCAGGAATTGTGTATAGATTACACTGTAAATTACTACAGGTTGAACCTCTCTGGTCCAGCAACATCTGTGGTCCCCAGATGAGACCATCATGGGATGCCCACCGGTAGTGCCACCTGATGATATACAGGCTCACCAGGACTTCAGAAATCAGAAAATTAAGGAGAGTAGAATAGACTTCTCGTTCAGTGTTAGCCATGCTGGGGTTCAGGTTTTTACATTTCTACTAACACATCTGTACAGAGACTTCTGATTTTGCCTGCATTTATATGCGCTCTCCTGAAATTCTATTCACCAATTATTACTGAGGCCTAGTATTGGAAATCCTGAGAGAATCTACCTTGGTTTCAAGTATCTGAAATATTAAAAGTTGGATGAATGCTGTTTTTCTTAGGACTGAATAGGCACAGTAATAAATCTTCCCTCAAATTTACAAATATTTGGTATGTGAATTCTACTCTGCTTTTAAAAATAAGAGAAGCAGGTTCATACCAAAATACTGCCTTGGGATTGTTTTCCTAAAAGTATGTATCTGGAGGTAGAACTACAGATCCAAATGTCTAGACAAAAGGTGGTCACTTACATATATAGCAGGAAAAAGCTAACCAATTGGAATCTTAAAGACTAACAGATTTAATTAGACATAAGCTTTCCTGGTAAAAAAACACTGTCAGATGAATTGGAGCATGTAGGATGAACGATGGCATTTTTCAAACTGATTTATAATGTGAATAGGGATTTTTCCACCCTATATGAAAATCATTATATCCAGCACTTAAAAAATTCTAGCTCATTTTTGGAAGCAAGGCTCTTGAGTGATAAGAAATGGTTTTAATGTGATGAAAATATCAACTCTGCAAGTGGCAGTCTATTAAAATCCTCTCCTGTTCTTTGAGGGTCATTGCTGCAGGCTTTGTTTTCAGCCAGGTGGTTTGTCTATACAATAAACCCCAGCTCAAACTTTTTTGAAGAGGGTTGAAAACCTTTATGATTTCAGACTGTCTTTTAGCTAAAATTGACTTAGAACATTGGTGTATCATGGTAAATTAAAATGCAAGTTAATGAAAAGCATTATATATCTTGTAAGGAAAATATTTTGATTGTGCCTTTTTCATTTGAGGTAGAAACCTAGCATAGCAAGTGGTTTGACTGTTGTGTAGCAATGTTTCTGAAATTTAGGTCTTAGGAAATATATCAATCTGTTACATATAAACAGTAGGGGAAGGAGTATTGAACTGAATATATCCTTGAAGGGTTTTGGATTTATTTTATTTGAAAATTGTTAATATTGTCCAGTTGCAGGGCATTGTGCATTTTATTAATTGTGTGCTATTGTGATGCTACTAAAACTGTTTAGCAATCAAAACTGCTTAATAATTTACTGTGGAGAACTGATCCCAGTAATTTGACTTTACCCTATTTTCTGTATAACTTGTGATGTATTTTGTGAGAGTGCCTCTTTTCAATGTGAAGATTTGGAATATTTCTGAGCTACAGTTTTAGTATTCCTCTCTACTTGAGTAGAAATTCCATCAGTTATTGTACAAACCAGTGATAATGCCAAATCGATCTTCCTAGAAGAAAGTAGGAAAAAATCTAGTTTGTGTTTTTTCACAATTGTGGCAAACGTCCATTTTAGAATTTTAATCAAATTTAGCCCATATAAATGTATTAAGTTAAACCGGCTTTTTTCAAGATCAGTGTACATTGTAAGCATTGCACTACAAATGCTTTTGGCTGTGTGATTTTCAGCTGTGATTTATATTTCATTAAATACGCCTGCGTTTTTGATATAACATTGTATTTTTGGCACCTAGAACTTGTCTGTCGAAGCTGCACTGGTTTAACTTAAGAATATATTGAAATCCATATAATTAAACCAGTTCAAATGCCTGTTTGGATAAAGAAATGCCTTATTTGGGGTTAGCTTAGGAGCAGGTATAACTAAATTGAAATAAGCCATTCTAATATCAAATGAAAGCGGCCAAAACACTTTGGCTATGTCTACACTGGCATGATTTTCCGCAAATGCTTTTAACAGAAAAGTTTTTCCGTTAAAAGCATTTGCAGAAGAGAGCGTCTAGATTAGCACGGACGCTTTTCCGCAAAAGCACTTTTTGCGGAAAAGCGTCCGTGCCAATCTAGACGTGGGTTTGCGGAAGAAAGCCCCGATCGTTATTTTCGTCATCGGGGCTTTTTTTCGCAAAACAGTTTTTAGCTGTCTACACTGCGCAAGAGGGCTTTTTCCTCAATGGGAGCAGCATAGTATTTGTGGAAGAACACTGACAATCTTCCATTAGATCGTCAGTACTCTTGCGCAAATTCAAGTGGCTAGTGCAGCTGCTTTTGCGGAAAAACTTGCCAGTCTAGACGCAGCCTTACAGTCTAAACAGGCAAGGTAGACAAACTGCAGGAGGAGAATCAGCATTGGCTTAACAAATCTCATGTCACAAGCTGTTTTGGAAAAGGAGCCTGATACCTCAAATTATGAAATACACATTCTGAATCCAAAAGTCTAAGGCGTTCGGTGTAGCTGGATGAGGAAAAAGGGAAAGTGCTTTGTTTTCACTGATAAGTCCCACACCCAGAAGTGTGCTGGAGTTCTGACGTTTTAGGGCTTGTCTACATGGAAGATATTTCTAGCTATCCAAGTATAATTAAGTGACTCTAGTTATACTGGCATATAATTCCCTCATGTGGACACTCTTACTCATGGATAAGATTTTTTTTTTATCTTCAGTTTAGCTTAAACCACTTCCAAGGGGAGAAAACGCCTCGAATATTTTAAATAGAGAGGTGGGGTAAAAATATTTTGAATCAATAAAGAAACTAAGCTGGAAAAAGGCTCTCTTAATCCATAGTACCAGTAGCTATGCTAGTATAACTGTAGTGTTTTAAATTCACGCTCTAATTTATGCTGCTGTAACTTCCTTTAGCATGTGAATGTGTGTGCATTTATGCTTGCTGAGTGAGATGGCGTACTGGATCTGGACAGAAAGCGGTGTGTAACCGTCAAAGGGAGCCAATCTGCTTTACCTCTGAGGATGTGATGATGTTGCAAATCAGTATTTTTAATACAAATTCTGCATTTCTGGTGCTACGGGGGGAGAGTTGCTAAAAAGCAGTGTTTACCACTCTAAGGACCTAGAGAGCTAATTTGGAATAAGGACTCTTATTCTGGTGCCAGAATGTCAACACAGGGCATTAATCGGGAATAATCAGTCTGTTTTGGATTTACACCCTACGTTATTCCAGATTAGAAATGTCACGTGCAGACCGTCATTGTAAAGGGAGCCTGGTGTTTCCAGGTTGATTTGCTTTCCCTCTAACGATGATACCAGTCTCAGAAGGGCCTTGTACTGACCTCTCTCTAGGCAAGTGTTTTGTATCTTTAAGCTGAGCTGAGTACACCCCGTTGTTCAGCTGCTGACATCTCGCGTTTCTGTTCTGATCTTTGGAGAGTGGGGGGCTGGGCTTGGACTAGGTCTGTGTGGGGCCATGTGGAGCCTGCTGCCTGTTAGACTAGGGCTCCCTGGGGGAGGGAGGGAGAAACCTGGCACGGCACAGCAAACAGCTCCCAACTTCCAGCTGCCTCCTCCTCCCACCCCGCTGTACAGCTGCCCCTTGCATTCCTTCCCCGCCTGGGTCGGCCCCTGGCATGTTGCATTTTGCCCCCGGGGAAGGCAGCGGCGGGGAGCACCCCAGCCAGACTGCTGGCCACGTGCTTCACTGTCTGAGCCGGGGGCCCCTCCCCAAAACATTGTGCTGCTGCTGCACATCTGGAGAGGGCTGCGCTGTGCCTTGCCTTGCCTTGCCTTCCCCGCCCCCCCCTTCCTCCCTTCCCCTCCCCATCTCCCCCTCCTGCCTCCCCTCCCCTGCCAGTTCCGCAGCACTCCCAGCTGAAGCACACTCCGGCTCTGCTGACTGCCGGGAGGATGTGCTCCGGCTTTTGTTCCCATTACGTCGGGCACAGAGGCAGGGGAGTGCGGAGTGTGAGCCAGGGCTGGGTCCCTCGCTCCCCTAGCGTGTAAGGGGGGTTCTAAAAAAGGGGGTGTTGAGCCAAGCACCTGGCTCGCTGGACCAGTGCAGTCACGGTGAAATAATGAACAAAGCATCCTCCAAAATGGAGCCAGGAGAAGGGCTGGAAACCCCCCTCCCCCCGGGAAATGCATCTGAATCTCCCCTTCTCCTGCGGGGACCCAGCTCTGTAGAAAGGGAGGTCTGAGACCAGGAGTGGTGGGGTGGAACGGGGAGTGAGGTGTGGGGAGGCTGGCATATGAGAGCAGGCAGCTGCACGCCGGGGTGAGGAATGGGGGAGCGATGGAGTCGGGGTGCCTGGCAGGGAGCGCCATGGCCGGAGAGATGCTGCAAAACACTTTCCCCTTTTCTTCTGCCAGCTCTTGGGAGGACTCCAGGTCTGCCTCTTGCCGGCGCTTTCCCTCCTGTTCCTCTCCCCAGCTGTTCAGCCGGCCGGGGTGTTAGTGTCACCCGTCTCCGGGGGTGTGAACTTGCTGGCATGGCTGCTTCTGGGACCTTCGGGCGGCAGCAGCAGGGAGGAGGCTGCCGGCAGAGCTGGATTTAAAGGGGAATTGTGCCGCAGCCGATGCTCGGCATCTGGAGCAGCCCTGGGGACTCTGACATTGCTACACACACGCAGCCAGTCACAATGACAGCAGCTGCCTGGAGTGGCTGCAGGCAACGGGCCGGGAACATGAAGTGAAGGGATTGCTGCGGAGCTCAAGATGAACTCCACCTGGGTTGGCAACCAGAGCGGGCGGCCATTCTGCCTGCTGACCATTAGCTACTTGGAGACCTTCAATTTTTGCCTCCTGGAAGTGATTGTCATCGTGTCTCTCACCGTGCTCATCATTTCAGGCAATATTATAGTGATATTTGTCTTTCATTGCGCCCCTTTACTGAACCACCACACCACCAGCTACTTCATCCAGACCATGGCTTATGCTGACCTCCTGGTGGGCGTGAGCTGTCTGGTGCCTTCTCTGTCCCTGCTCCACTATCCTGTAGTTTTGCGAGAGTCCTTGGTCTGCCAGGTTTTCGGTTATGTGGTCTCCGTGCTCAAGAGCGTCTCCATGGCCTCTCTGGCTTGTATTAGCATCGATCGATACATTGCCATCACCAAACCGCTGACCTACAATACTCTGGTCACCCCGTGGAGACTCCGCATCTGCATCCTGCTCATCTGGCTGTACTCCTGCCTCGTCTTCTTACCTGCCTTCTTTCACTGGGGGAAGCCTGGCTACCATGGGGATGTGTTTCGGTGGTGCGCCGACTCCTGGTACACCAATCGCTATTTCACGCTCTTCATCGTGATGATGCTCTACGCCCCTGCTGCATTCGTCGTCTGCTTCACCTACTTCAATATCTTCCGCATCTGCCAGCAGCACACCAAGGAAATCAATGAAAGGCGAGTGCGCTTCAGCTCCCAGGATGGGGAAGCTGGGGAGGCACAGCCTTGCCCCGATAAGCGCTATGCCATGGTCCTCTTCCGCATCACCAGTGTCTTCTACCTCCTCTGGTTGCCCTACATCATCTACTTTTTGCTGGAGAGCTCGGCTGTCTACAGAAACCACACGGCCTCCTTTCTGACTACTTGGCTGGCCATTAGCAACAGTTTCTGCAACTGTGTCATTTACAGTCTCTCCAACAGCGTTTTTCAGAAGGGGCTCAAGCGCCTTTCGGGGGTAGTTTGCGCATCTTGCGCAAGACAGAGGGTAGCTAAGGACTCTTCAACCTCTAGGAGCAAAAGGCCTTCCAATGGATGTCATGTCTAAGGAGCAGGTTGCTGAGCTTGGGAAACGCAGGCGCAGTCATGCACATTGCAAAATAAGTTAAATTCCATTGTTAAGACATCTAGCTTAGCAGAAAGGTTTCTGAGAGATGCTGCTGACACCAGAACCAGGAGCATGCGCTGTTGTTTCCCCTTTAAAATGGTGTGAGGGTGTGTAACCTCCATATTCTTTTTAAGAATAAAGGTGTATCCTCACATTTCTGGCATTGACCGAATGTTGTGTGTGGCTGGGTGAGCTGCAGCTTTGAGGCCATTTCAAGATTTGTGGGTCTCACAGAAATGATTTCTCTCAAGTGGAAGTGTTACAGTGTAATGTATTACAAGGACTCTCTTGCCTATGCCAAAGCATATTGACTCTGTGTGTTCTGACATAATATAAGGGGCCAAATGATTTGCCTTTCAGCTCTACTTAGAGCTCTAGAATATAGTGAATCATGTGAACACTTTAACATTAACCTTAACTTAAAAGTTGCAATGAGCCACGAATGCAGCAATGTGATCAAAACAAACACTTTTGAAAACTGATCTGGTCTCTGGGCCCCATTTTCCCAGTAGAATACTTGTGTGTGATTGGAGTACAGTATTTGCATTTTTCTGTTTGTTTGTGTAGTAACGAGGACAGCTCGGATCAGACCAAATTTAGCAGTTTAATAAAACATTTTTATAAGCGGTTGTTTGACATCTGAATTGTAGCAGTGGTTTGAGGATGATGCCTCTTGGTGAAAATTATTCTCAAAACACTGGAGAAAAGCCACTTCTGGTTGGCAATTACTCAAGAACAACTAACAAAAATCTGACATGTTTTTTATCTAAATTTTTCTGATAGTTTACATAGTAAAAATTAATGGGAAAAGAAAAAAGTCTCAATAGCTAAGGAGGCTATGTTATAAATTTAACTACAGTGTTTGAGTTATAGATAACTGAACACACAGCTAAATCAGGCATTTATCTTTAATCCCAGGAAGCCTAAAGAAAGTTAAAATATAGCAGGAGTAAATTCCTTTTGCCAAGCATCTGCCGTAAACCGGTCAAACAAAGTTTACTATCTGAGAAGCAAAGTTTTCGTGACAATAACTTTTTAGAAATGGTTTAGAATGGAGGCTTTTTGTCTACTGTAATGTCATCTGCAATGCACTTTTGCCCTCAACAGTTCATTCTTTTTAAAAATGCCATTAACTCTTTATTGATGCATGGAGTGCTATTTTAGTAGCTAAAGTGTCTGCAAAGTATAAATTCTTAATAATAATGGATTATAGCCTGTGTAATATTTTCCATCTCAGTGTCCTTAATACAGGGATGTGGGTTTCTCTCTCTCTCCCCCCCTCCCCCTTTACATAATATATACTGCAGCCTATCTGCAGCTTGCTGTGTTCAGCCTGCAGCCTATCTCTGTGTGCCATAGGAGTTGCTTCTGGGGAATTCGTTGAGCTCCCCACACATGTAGGAGTTGCAGTGTGCGTGTGCGCTCAGTGCACAGAGGCACTGAAGGAAACTTATGAAAAATGGATTACAAGAGACTTCTAAGACCTGGAAATGTGTCTCTAGCTCAAGGGGAAAATCATAGTTTGTGCTGTAAAATGTATTTAAATCAGATCTTGGTTTTCTACTATAATATGTCATCCTTGATGAAAACCTGCAAAGATAACTTTCTGTTGTAGAGCCTCCAAAATGTAAGAACAAAGGCTGTTGCAATCCTGATGTATCACAGCTACTTTATTAGTTGTTAGTTGTATCATTGCGCACCTAGAAACTAGGGCCCCTTTTGGTTGGCACTGTGTAAATTAGGGATGTTAATCGGTGTCCGGATAAATGGATACTTGGCAAGCATCACTCTTTTAAGCAGATAAGGGTTAACCGGTACCTGGGAGCAGCCCTCACAGGCCAGGGCAGCCCCCTGGGCGGAGAAGGAGGGAGCAGAGCAGGATCAGCCAGGATGGAGCAGTGACCTGACCCCAGCAGACAGGGCGGGGAGGGCACCCCCCCGCCCACCTTCTTTAATTGGCTAAATGCGTTTAACTAATTAAACATATTTTACGTACCTAGCGTAAATAGACAGCAAAAAGACGGTCCCTACCGCTGAAGAGCATGCTATCTAAATTTAAGGCTAAAGATGACAGGTGGATGTGACTGACAGTGGGGGGCAGGGTTTGAGGTGACCCTTAGCAAAGATGAAATAAGTAACGATTGTACCAGCTGGCTAATAATTCCCAAGTCTTTTATAAGCATTATAATGTAGGTGGGTTTTAAGATATCACTAATATTTAGCATTTATGCTCAGTATGATTGAAATGCAGAAAACCGCTGCTTTAAGTTTCAAGTGTTTGAGCAGATATAATCGAAGCATTAGAGTAGCATTTAACATCCGGATGATTTATGTCAGATTTATCTGCTGGGCCCTAAAATCCATCACAGTAAGGTTTTAGGCTTTAATGAAGATCTGAGGGCAAATATGGATGCATCTTTCAGTTTGTGTGACAGGAAGCAGCAGCTGGATGTGTCTTAGTGTACAATATATTTGGGAATATATGAATTTAACAACAGTTGGGGTACCTAAATGCTGACATTAGTATTTAACTTGTGGTGCACCAGATGTCAGTTTTGTCCAGCTGGCCCAGAACTGTTTTCAAAATACAGTAGTTTGCAGCTACAGATATTTTTAAAACTTTGGAATAGCTGAGCACATTAACTACTCTGTTGCTGGCTAGAAGGAAGGTAGTCCAGCTGTGAGAATCAGTTATAGAGGATTTATTAAAAATTAGGCTTTTGCTCTTTCAGTGACTATATTCAAATAGGCCATCAGCTTTATGTTATCTCTAAACCTGTCAGTTAAGTTGTTTTTCATGTGTGTATATATGTTTTTAAAGCTGCTTCCCCAGATTGATATCACATGCAACTATTGACTTCAATTAAGTTATATCAGCAATGAATCTGTCCCAGTGTTCTTGGGACTAAGTGAGGAAGAAATAATTTCACACCTGATTTTATCAGAGTTCGTTTAACTTTATTTGGGTGATGGCACGAGGCTTAGTGCTTGTTTTCAGGGACTCTGAACACTGTCGATGCTATGAATGGTTACTTCATAAAAGGTCAGATGATTTTCATAGCTACTTTTGAAAATGAGGAATTGTGGTTGGCTATGCTTGTTTGAGTTCCCATAATGCTTTACAAAACAGTGAGTATGGACTAGGATCCTTGCACACACAAATGTGGTGAAGGAGCATTGATGTAAAAATATTTTCATTTTCATAAAAATATTAGGTGTGCATTTGAGGGGTAGCCATGTGAGTCTATTTCAGCAAAAGCAGAGAAATCCCATGGCACTTTAAACACTAACAAATTTAGTTGGGCATAAGCTTTTGTGGGACCCATGAAAGCTTATGCCCAACTAAATGTATTAGTCTTTTAGGTGCCACAGGACTCCTCAGTCTGCTATGAAACTTCCCTGAACTTACACAGTTAAATGAATACACTTCAATTTCAAATTTGTATCTGTGACTGTAGATTCTGTTCATTACTTATCTGACTTATTTTCAGATCCAGCTGAGTGAAGGTTTATAGCTTGTTTAATTACAGGATGGAATTCACTTGGCATTTTTGAATCCCGTGGGGAAGCTTTTCTGAAAGTGACATAAATTATATATCTCATCCAACTGTCTCATATGGAAAAAGAGAATACTTTAAATTTTTTTGGAGGTTGAAGTGGTAGTGTATTGCTATTGAAAATAATTTCAGAGGGAGAAATTGTGCAATTTGTTAATTTTCTAATTCAAATCCAGTATGTTTTTTTAACATGGAGAATTCCTTTCTTGGTAGGTTGAAAAGAGTATGATAGCTGTGTGCTTTCAAATTCTGCATTTGCACGTTAGTGTATTCCTTCATTCCCCATATTGAAGTCTTAATTTACTAGAGCATATTTTGTACTGTAGATTCCTACTTGATAGTAGAATTTCAGATTGATACCTTCCATTGGTATTTAGCTTCTGTTACTGTATTATCTGAACACCTGACAGTCATAGAATCATAAAACTGGAAGGAACATTGAGAGGTCATCAAATCCAGTCCCCTGCACTCATGGCAGGACCAAGCACCATCGATTCTAGACCATCTCTGATAGGAGTTTGCGTAAACTGCTCTTAAAACTCTCCCATGACGGAGATTGCATAAACTCCCTAGGCAATTTATTCCAGTGCTTAACCACATTGACAGTTAGGAAGTTTTTCCTAATGTCCAGCCTTTAATATCCTCACACCAACTTTGTGAGATAAGGAAATAGTCCATTTTGCAGATGGAGAATTGAGACCCAGGGGAAAAAAATGACCTACCCAATGTCAAATTGGGGGAGCAAAGAATTGAGCCTGAATCTCCCATTTCCTGGACCATAGCCATGGCACTATCTGTTGCTTCTGTAAAAAAAATTCACAGGAAGAATGGTCATCTACTCGGAAAGTGACAAATACAAGGCCCGGATTAACATCCTTCCTGTGAGAACACCGCCAACTCAATACCCAGCCTTGGTAACCAGTACCTCTGGCTGTAGCTGCAGATAGCCACACCATCTGATACATTGCATTTTCACAAGTCAAGAAAAGTGCTTCAACTAAGCTGTATTTCAGGGTTTGCCATTTGAAGTCAGTGGGGCTAAAGTACTTTTGAGAATCCAACCATCAAATGACTTTTTGGCTTTACGAGATGAGCCTTGAATTGTCGTTTTCGAAAATGTTGGCCTGTCTGTCTAAAATTTAATAGTTCAATCTATTGAAAGTCTGAATGAATTATTGTTAACCCCAAGTCCATTTTATTTGAAATTACAAAGGCTTTGTCACCCAGACGTTTTTATTAAACTTTTAGATCCCTGATGCTGAAAACATTCATGGGCATAGATCATTGAAGTCAGTGGAGTAGTTTGTGCATGTGACGTATCAAGAGAAGTGTCTGTAGGTTCAGGCCTTCATTTTCAATATTTTGTTTTTCACACTGAACAGTATAGGGATGTGAGCGACTAGTCAACTAGACTAGCAACTAGCTGCTGGGGAGGGGGGAAGAGAAGCCTGTGCTGGGAGGAGCCGGTTTAAAAGCCAGTTCCCCCCAGGACTGTCTCTGCAGTACCACTCTTCCCCCCTCCCCCCCCCAATCCCCGCCGCCTCTATCAGAAACAGCAGGGGTAGGGGATAGAGGAGGCTGCTGCGGACAGGGTTGGCCCCGGGCAGGGGCTGCTGGACTTGGCGCGAGTCAGGACCGAATAGTTCCGGCTCTCGCTGGTCCGGAACGCTGCGCCTTTGCATTTTCAGTGTTGTAAGACCCTGGTGGCTCCCAGAGTCTGCACAGCCTGAGTGTGGGTGACTACTGGAGCCGACACAAGCCGCGACTGCTCAGTCCTGGCTTGAGCTGGCTCCTGGAGCTCCCCCTGCTGCGGCTCTGCTCTCCTTATCCACTAGTGGTGTAGTTGATACAAACTGTAAACTATGTGATTAGTGAGCTCACTGCAATTTAACATCCTTAGTTCAGTAAGATATACCCTGCAATAGTGGGTTATACCCTGCAATAGTGGGTTATACCCTGCAATAGTGGGTTAATGCAGCAGATATACCCTGCATTAAATTATGATCAGCAGTTGCAATTGCACATTTTCATGAGTTTTACCCAATAAAACCCTTTCCCCAGTAAACCTCTCTTTAGAGTCAGAGCCATGAGCCTACTAGAAAAAGAGCAGAAACCCTATCTCTGTGTTTTCAGTTTAGAATTAGCGCCACCTCCTACTTGCTAGGTATGCCTGTGGCTCCCAACCTATACACCACTATATCCCGTACTCCTCAATGAATAATTTCTCCAGAAATCCAGCCAGCCTCCAGAAAATGGTCTTCACATGGCTGGATTTAGATTTCTGCCCCCACTCTTGCTCATAAATGACATCATCCGAGCCAGTCACTGCTCTAGTCTGGTATTTGCTTCAGAGATTCTCTGGTTCTTTATATCAATATGTTAAGTGATTTAAAATAGGTCTGACTGAGCACAGGCTATATTCCTCAGCCCTAGTTATAGCTGATCAAATCGTGGTACCATCAAGCTCCATAAGCTGCCTTCAACAGGAACAATATTTTTCCTTTAGAGGAAAATGAAAATCCCCCTTAGTGCACCTAGCCAATTGTGCAGTGATGTACATAGAATCATAGGACTGGAAGGGACTTTGAAATGTCATCTTGTCCAGTTTCCTGCACTCATGGTAGGGCCAAGGATTATCCAGGCCACCCCTGACAGGTGTTTCTCTGACCTGCTCTTAAAAATCCCCATTGATGGAAATTCCACAACCTCCGTGGGCAATTTATTCCTGTGCTTTACCATCTGACTTTTTCCAAATGCCCAGCTTAAACACGGCTGCTGCAATTTAACCCTGTTTCTTCTTGTCCTCTCCTCACAGGTTAAGAAGAATATTTTTTTTCCCCTGCTCCTTGTAAAACACAGTACTCCAGTTTAGGGATGTAAGTGACTAGTCGAGTGACTACTCGCTCCCCCTCCCCCTCCCTCTTTGCTGCCTCTGATTGAGAGGCAGCAATGGGGGGAGCAGGAGCTGGTACTGGGGAGGCAGAACTGCGAGTCCCAGGGATGGCACGAGCCGGCACTATTCAGTCCCAGCTGCCCCCAGGAGCTACTGCGGCGTAACCCAGCACAGGTTGAGCTTCTGGGGGTGATGCGAGTCAGGACTGAACGGTCCCACCTCATGACACCCCTGGGATGCTGCAGCTCTGCACTTTAAATGTAGTAAGAGCCTGCCAGGCTCTGCAGTAGGCTCCCGCTGCCCCCCTCCTCCTCATCAACTAATCAAGTAGTCAGTGGAAGTTCCATCAGCGACTCGATCAGTCACTTAACCGATGGTTAACATCCCTACTCCAGGTGAGGTCCAATGAATGCAGAGTAGAACAGAAGGATTACTTCTCACGTCTGCTTAGAACACTCCTAATACATGGCGGAGCAATATTTGCGTTTTTTGCAGCTGCATTACACTGACACATAGTTGGCTTGTGGTGCACTATGACCCCTGGATTCCTGTCAGCAGTACTCCTTCCTAGACAGTCGCTGCCCATTCTGTATGTGTGAAACTGACCGTTCCTTCCTAAGTGTATTGAGTTTCATCCTCCCCCCCGACTCTTTCTCCAATTTGTCTAGATCATTTGGAGTTTTAAGCCGATCCCCCCAAGTACTTGCAACCCCTTCAGTTTTGTATCCACTCCAAACGTTGTAAGTGCAGAGAGGGAATGTTTCCTGACTTGTATAGATTATCCTCCTACAGCGGGAGATCCAATTTCCCTTAGCTTAGCCTGCATAGGTACAAATATTAATGCTCACCTAATCCCTTTTTTAAGCCTGAGCTTCAATAATAGCACAGATGCATACATTATGGTGCCCTCATGTTTGTGCTCCATGTACTTGGTCTGTACTAGCATGGCTAGGGCCAGCCCAAGCCATTTGTGCGCCCGGGAGCACAACGCACGCGTGGCCCCACCCCCGGGCGCATGGCACCTCCTGGGGGCGCGGCGCGTGCGGTGCCGCCCCTGCCTCGCCTGGCTGCCCCGCATGGCGCCCCCTACAATGGGGCGCTCCGGGCGGTAGCCCGGTCAGCCCGTAGTTTGGGCCGGCTCTGAGCACGGCACAGTGACCAGTTTGGAGAGACTTCTGTGTCAGCGGGTGGGCAAATACAGGGTGGTGCTGCAGTTATTTATGTCTGCGTAATGTTTGTGGAATGAAAGCCCTCTGAATTTAAAGCCAATTGCATACACACGTGTATGCAGAAAGATTGAAAGAAACTAAGGAATGACCAGCTAGCAAAATGAAATGTCACATTAATTACTGGCAAGCTGTATCGTGCCAGAATGGATATAAAATACACAGTTACATCAGTGCCATGAAATAGTTCATTAGGAGTGGGGGGAGGGACAGGAAAGTTCTTTCTGCTGTAGAATTTGTCTTGTATACCATATGGTCGTTCTTGTAAGCTGGTATCTGCCCTTTTCATTTTGGATTTAGGACATTACACAAATGCCCCCCCCCCCCCAAGCTGTGCGTGTCAGACGTGCATGCAGTGTGCAGACACCGGTTAGCTCACTTCTGAACAAACTCCAGCCAGTTAAATCTTAAATAGCAAGCCAGTTCACTATTCCAGCCCAGAGCCTCTGTACTCCCCTCCCTAAATGCCTTCTCTTCCCATGCAGTTTTGAACATCCTTCTCCTCTGTTAGTTTGCACTTTGCTTGTGTGCGTGTGTTAGTGTCTGCAAACATCCTCTGTAAATCTGAACTGTGAAA